CACTTATCCCCTAACCCCTCCCCCTTGTCTCCTCTGGCAACCACCTGTTTGTATCCGTGAGTCTGTTTCTGTCTTATTATGTTTGTTCACTTGTTTTGTGTTCTAGATTCCATATACAAGTGAAATCATACATTTGTCTTTCTCTGTCAGACTTATTTCATTTAGCATATTACCCTCTAGGTCCATCCATTTTGCTTCAAATTTCATTCTTTTTAAATGACTGAGTAGTATTCCATTGTGTGTATTTATACCATACCTTCTTTATCCATTCATATATCAATGGGCACTGAGGTTGTTCTCATATCTTGGCTATTGTAAATAATGCTGCAGTGAAGACAGGGGTGCATATATCTTTTCTAATTAGCTTATTTTTTTCAGATAAATACCCAGAAGTGGAATTGCTGGATCATATGCTTCTTCTATTTTTAATTTTTTAAGGAACCTCGATACTGTGGCTTTTCCATAGTGGCTCCACCAATATACAATCCTACCAACAGTCCATGAGAGCTCCTTTTCCACATCTCCCTGACACTTATTTTTAGTTGTCTTTTTGATAACAGCCATCCTAACATGAATGAGGTGATATCTCATTGTGGTTTTAAATTGCATTTTCTTGATGATTAGTGACAATGAGCATCTCCTCATGTGTCTGTTGGTCATCTGTGTGAATTCCTTGGAAAAATGTCTATTCATGTCCTCTACCCATTTTTTAACTAAATAGATTTTTATATTGTGTTCTTCATATATTCAATATGTTGGATATTAACTACTTATCAGATAAATCAGTTGCAAATATATTCCCCCATTTGCTTGGTTGCTTTTTCTGTTGATGATTTCCTTTGCTGTGCAAAAGATTTTTTAATATTTTTTCTTTTGTTTCTTGTACCTGAGGATACAGAGCCAAAATCTATTGCTAAGACTGATGTCAAAGAGTATATACTTCCTATTTTCTTCTAGGAGTTTTATGGATTCAAATCTTATATTTAGGCCATTAATCTGTTTTGAGTTTATTTTTGCAGATGGTGACCCAGTGTCATTCTTCTGCATGTGGCAATCCAGTTTCCCAACACCATTTTATTGAAGAGATTGTCTTTCTCCATTGTATGTTATTGGCTCCCTTGTCATAATAAAGTGATGATAGAAGCATCTATTCCATTCCACTGATCTATGTGTCTATTTCTGTGCCAGTACCATACAGTTNTAAACACTGGGAGTTGGTGATGAACAGGGAGGCCTGGTGTGCTGCAGTCCATTGGGTCACAAAGAGTCAGACACTACTGAGAGACTGAACTGAATTGAAATTTAGTTTTTTGAGTTGTTTTTGTTGTTTAGTCGCTGTGTCTGACTCTTTTGTGACCCCATGTACTGTAGCCCACCAGGCTTCCCTGCCCATTGAATTTCCCGGTTAAAAATACTGGAGTGGGTTGCCATTACCTTCTCCAATGGGTTTTCCCGACCCAAGGACTGAACCCATGTATCCTGCATTGGCAGGGAGATTCTTACCACTGAGCCACATGGAAAGCCCAGTTTTCTGAGTACAAGACTTTTGTCTCCTTAGTTAAAGGCTCACATATAACAACTTATGTATAGAACAGTCTCTTAAGTTGGTGGTCACTTAAGTTTGAGCACGTTCTACAAGTATTACACTTTTACCTTCCTTTCCTTCATTTTATGTTTCTGACATCATATTTTACATCTTTGTATTTGTGCATCACTTAACTAATTATTTTAGTTATAGATAATTTTACTACATTTTGTCTTTTAAAATTAACATTAACTTTCTTGGTAGTTGATTCACTACCTTTACTATATGTTTGCCTTTACAATGGAGATGTTTTTCTTTCATAATTTTCTTATTTCTAACTATGGCCTTTTCTTTTCCATTTAAAGAAGTTTTTTGTTTTTTTTTAAACATTTCTTGTACAGCCTGTTTAATAGTAATGAACTCCTTTACAAGCTTTCTCTTTACTGGGAAACTCTTTATGTCTCCAATTCTGAGCGATGACCTTGTTGGGTAAAGTATTCTTGGCTGTAAATTTTTTTCTTTCAATACTTTCATTATTTCATGCCACTCCCTTCCCACCTATAAAATTTCTGCTGAAAAAACAGCTGATAGTCTTATGGGGGTTTCCTTGTATATAATTAGATTTTTTTTCTTGCTGCTTTTAAGATGCTCTCTTTAATTCTTGATATTTTAATTATAATGTGTCTTGGTGTGGACCTCTTTGGGTTCGTCTTTATGGGGGGTTCTCTGTGCTTCCTGGACTTGGATGTTTATTTCATTTGACAGGCAAGGGGAAGTTTTCAGACATTATTTCTTTAAGTAGGATTTCTGTCCCTTTCTCTCTCTGTCTTCTTCTGGGACCCCTGTGATGCAAATGTTAGTATTCTTGATCCAGAGGTTTCTTAAACTATCTGATTGTTTAAAGTTCAGTTTTCTTTTCAGTGTTTTGATTAGGTGATTCCCACTGTTCTTCCAGACTGTAGTCTTTCAGACTGCTGATCTATTCTGCATCCTCTAATCTGCTGTTCATTCATTCTGGTGTATTTTTCATTTCAGTTATTATATTCTTCAGTTCTGATTGGTTCTTTTTTCTTATATTTTCTCTCTTTGTTGTAATTATCACTGAGTTCATCCATTGTTTTCTCAAGTCAGTGGGCATCTTTATGACTGTTACTTTGAACACTTTATCTTGCAAATTGCTTATCTTTGTTTAATTTAGCTCCTTTTCTGGTGTTTTGTCTTTTTTTTTTTTTTTTTTTAATCACTTGAAAGGTATTCCTTTGTCTCTTTATTTTGCCTAACTCTCTGTGCTTGTTTCTATGTATTAGGGATGTCGGCTACATCTCCTAGTTGTAGAAGTTATGTAGAAGGTGCGGCTCAATGGTGCAATTGCCGCTGGTCACCAGAGCACTGCTGCGGGCCTGCTGATGTGTGGAGCTAGCCTCCAGTGCAACTGGCTTCAAGGCCAGGCTGGGACTACTGTGAGTGCTCTGTGGTGTGAAGCTGGCCCCCTAAAGTGGGAGCTGCTTTGGAGGGGTGCTGGTGCCAGCTAGGGCTGCCCTCTGGGTAGGGCAGGGCAAGAAGTATTTTGGAGGGACTAGCTGGAGTCAGTCCTCAGAGGAGCATCGGGGTGGGGCATACAGTGTCAGTTTGGTGGAAAGTGACAGAAATGGTGTCTGCCAGTGCTTCCATTCCCAGAGGAAGTTCCTCCAGATCCCTGTCCCTCCAGCACATGCCTTAAAATTCATCAGTGAATCTCCTTCTCCTGTGACCCAAGCACTTTTCAAGCTGCTGCCTCTGTGCTGGAAGTTAGAGTGAATGAATGTGTATGCAAAGAGTAGAGTCCCAGATTCCCACAGCCCTCCAGCTCTCCTGAACGAAAGCCTCATTGGTTTTCGAATCCAGGAGTTGTGGGGGCTTGTCTTGCCCATGCACGTCCCACTGACTGGGGAGCCTGATGTGAGGCTTCAACCCCTTGTTCTTTGGGGGGACTCTCTGTGGCTGTGACATCCCTCCTGCTTGTGGGTTGCCGCACTGGGGGTGTGGGTTTGACTAGACTGTGTCTCTGTTCATCCTACATGGGTCCCTCACTGTGTCCTTTTCTTTCTGTCCTTAGTTCAGAAAATCTGTTCTGCTAGACTTCAGGTTGTTCTCGGAGATCATTGTTTTGTAAGTAGCTGTAGTTTCGGTGTGTCCATGGAAGGATGAGAGCTCAGGATCTTCCTACCCTGCCATCTAGATCTGGGCCTCTCCATAATAGATTTTTAATGCAAAAATAACTTCCCTCTGTTTGCTCAGAACGCTGCACCCCCTTCAAAGAGACAGGAAGTGCAGTGTCTGAGACCGGGCACTGTAGGCCTGTCCTTGGTGGTCAGTACCTGGTCGGGGCAGAGGGTGATGAGCTGGGTGCCTGGCCTCAGTCCAATGTACCACACATTTCTGATCACCCAAGACCTAGCTATTTTCCATGGTCATACTGCCATGGTAATAATGAAAATGTTATTATTTTTCATAATTATAATTGATTTTTAGCCCATTAAAAATGTCTGGTAAAAGCAAATCAACATGTATTCCCATAACCTAAAGTGTTTCTGGGTACTCATTCTGTCCTCAGCCCTTTGGCCAGCGCAGCATTCCCCAAGTGAGCTTGTGAGCTCTGAAGGCAGTGGGCACACACTCTTCCCATGAGGTGAGAAGCCAATCTCTGCTAGAGTCAGGTATAATCACACCAAGACCACTCCCCAGGCACTTCCCTGGCTGTTTAGTAATTAAAACTCTGCCCTTCCACTGCAGGGGACATGGGTTTCGGTTTGATTCCTGGTCAGGGGAACTAAGATCCTGCATGCCCACATGACTTGCAGCCAAAGAAAACCAAACACCATGCCTCTCTTCTCCTGCTCCATCCATTGGCCATTCCAGGTCCTGAGGCTTGGTGTGCCTTGAAGTTAATTCCCTCCCTCCTTTCTATTTGTCTTTGATTCATTGAATAGAAGGGGACAGGGTGTGACCAACCTCCAGTCCCATCGAGCACATAGTAGGCACCACACAGGGAAATCATCATAAAAACATTTTCTTAACTAATTAGCACTTTGCATCTAGAGCTTCCTATTCAAGCTATCTGTATGATATGGGGAAATAACTACTTCTGATAAGGACTCTCTACTACTTAACAAGGTCTTTTCCCTTTCTTTTCCCTTTTAAAACACTAATGGGAATTAGTGTTGGCCTCAGTTCAAGGTGCCACATATTTCTAATTACCCAAGACCTAGTTATTTTCCATGGCTGGAAGTCTATGGCAATACCAAAAATATTATTGTTTTTCAAAATTTATGTTACTACTGAGTTTTAGCCCATTGAAAACATCTGGTATACAAGTAAACCAACAAGCATTGCCATAAAGCTAAGGAGTTCCAAGGTGTTCACTCTGCCCCAGGCCCTTCGGCCAGCATATGCGCTCCCCGTGTGCGCTGCTCTTGGTCAGTGCCGGTCAGCTTACCTGTGAGGCAGATACCCCTGGTACTGTTGCATAGGTCCACCATCACTCGGATCTGTGGGAAGAGAGGTCCATTACCAGCAGCACGGTAGGCAGTAGACCCTGAACTTGCTCTTTATTCAGACAAGCAGAAAACAATTATAAAAATTTCCAAAATAGCCTCAGAAGAATAGGTAGAAGTGAGAGGAAAAGTTAACCTAAAACTGAAAAGACACCCCTGAAGGATCTAAAGATAAACATTTTTCTTGTATCAGCAACTATTTCCATAGACATCATCAACAGAATCTCCTTGATTTCTATCAAACTCTGAGAAGGCAGAGGATGGGGGAGGACCGCCAAATCTAAACCCAGGCTGGCTCCCCACGGTCTGAAAGGCTCAATCTATGGATCTGAATAAACAGGACTGGTGAACTTAGCAGTCTGAAGCACATACTTAACTCTGTGGGTGAGTATGGGTAAGGTACTTGACTCCTTGACATTTTGTTTTCCTCTGAAAATATAAATTATATGAATAGCTGCCTTTAGGGTTAGGGAGCTCCAAGCATGGCGTGTGGAAACTGCCCTTAGAGCTGTGATTCTCATGTCATGGGGACGCTGCTTACTTGCCATTGGATGGCCATCTGGAGTGTGTGGTCACTGCACCATGCTATCAGCCTGACACAAGATTCCCACACACCATTTTACACTCCTCTCCCCATTCGTTTTCCATGCTGTTGCTTGTGAGGTTCACAATACCCAAATTTGATCAGGTCAGGCCTGATTCAATCACTTTGGTGATGCCTTGCTGCTCTAAAGATACAGCAAAATTCCTCCGTATCTGGCCTCATCTCACACCATCCCCCCCTCTCTTTCTGTTCTCTAGTTCCACTTCCCTAGTGGCTTAGTGATAAAGAATCTGCCTGCCAATGCAGGAAACGCAGGTTCGATCTCTAGGTCAGGAAGATCCCCTGGAGGAGGAAATGGCAACCCACTCCCATATTCTCGTCTGGACAATTCCATGGACACAGGAGCCTGGTGGGCTACAGTTTTGGCTATAGTCCATGGGGCTGCAAAAGAGTCGGAGACGACTTAGAGACTAAAACACAAATTCCATTCTGTCTCAGTTTGCTTATCTGTGAGATGGGGCTATTAGTAGTACTTAACATCTTAGGATTGCTGTGAAACTTAAGGGAAGTTATATATGAAGTTCTTAGAACAGTTCCTTGGATGTAGGAAGCATACACAAGAGTGTTTTCTATTTTGTGAAGGCAGCATAAAGTACAGGTGAAGGCATGAATCCTGAAGTCAAACTGCTTGTGTTCAAATCACGGCTTTGTCATTCACAAATAGTATGACTTTGGGGAAGTTACTTAACCCCTCTGTGCTGTAGCATCCTTGGCTATAAAGGCGCTGACACTACCTACCTTACTTGTACCACGGTTATGTGGATACATGATTCAATACATGCAGTGCACTCACAACAGCACCTGCTATGGGATAAGCAAACTCTATGCTATTGTTTTGATAGTCTCTTGGATATGCCAGGGATGATTTAATTGATCAATTTATCTAAGAATTTCATACATAGAGAAATTTTTAAACCCAAGTAAGGTGGCATTTCAAAACTGTGGGAAGAAACCTTATCAATTGGGAAATGGAGTTGAGACAGCTGGATACACATCTAGGGAAAAACATAAATACAAATCCCTATTTCACTCCTTACACTAAAAAAGTTAATTGAACAGCATTAGTTGAAAATTTTAAAGTTAAAAACAAACTAGTAAAAATACTGAAGGAGACCTTGGGAAAAATATTTATAATGGTATTAGAGTAGGAAAGACTTTTCTAAGGAAGAAACAATCCCCATACTATACATAGGGAAAATGTGATAAATTCGACTGTCTAATAATTAAACATTTCTATAAGACATAAAATACTATCAACAATAACAAAGGCGAAACACAAACTTAGAAGAATAGTTATGCAAAGAGCTTATATACAAAGAGTTGCTACAAAGCAATAAGTAAAGGAACAAAAAAATAAAGGAAAATGGGCAATGGATCCAGGCAGAAAGCTCAAAGAAGAAAAATAAGAGAGTGTCTTATCTTCAATTGTAGTTGAAGAAACACATCAAATTATGAAATACTATTTTAACCTTTTTGGTTTGTAAATAAAAACAGAGTACTTCTCACAAGGGTATCAGGAAAGGAGCACTCTCATACTGTGTTGATGGAAGTGCAAAGGGACACTGCCTCTTTGGAGGGCATTTTGACAATACCTACTAAAATTTAAATGGATCTTTTGACCAATTATATTTTATGAGTTATTCTACAGATAGACTCATGTATGCATGAGAAGATACATGTACAAACTTGGTTATTTTAGAAATGTGGGCAAGAGCAAAAGTTAAAAACAACCTCAATATTTATCACTGAAGTCTGGTTAGAGAAATTGTAGCATATTCATACAATGAAACACTGTGGAAAAGACTAAATTTAAATCCATAAAGCCAATATTGAAAGATCTCTAAGACAGATGAAAAAAAAAACAAAAAACCAAGATATAGAGCAGCATGTATAACATGCTTTCATTTAACTAAAAAAGTAGTACATATGAAAATGCTTCTATACACTTTCTCTCTTGCTACTTTCCAGATTCTCTCTTTGTCTATGACTTTCTAGACTATTTCTGGAGAGAACTCTAAAAAGGAGAACTAAAACCTAAAAACTCCTCAAGTAAGGAGGAGTAGAGAGCCAGGGTGGGAGGGAGCTATACGAATGCCCGCACTTAATAAAACAAAATGCACTTTTGTTTTATTCAAAAATTTTGCTGATTTCTCTCTCAAACTCTTTTTAAAGAAAACTTGTTTTGATTTGAAGGGAAAATTTGTTTTGTTTTCTATCTAGGTTTACTTTGTTTGCTAGGGGGCCTGGAGGCAGATTTATACTGTATTCACTGTTTGTGAAGTGCCACAGGTGCACTACTTTAGGAATTTATTGTGAAATATATCATACATACCACAAGAATATAAAATGTGTGCCAACAGTGTAAGATGAATAATAAAACAAACATCCATATACTACCTCCAGCCAAGCAATGCATTAGGAAATCCCAGGTGTCTCTCCCAACACAAACCATTTCCTCCTAGCCACCAAAACTCTCTGATCTGAAGTATGTTGGGCAGTGGGACTCTCCCTTTTGTATAGATAAGAACAGAGAGGCTTAGCAAGGTGATGTCATTCACTCAAGGTCACACAGCTTGCTTGTGGAAAAGCTGGGCTCAACTCCAGGTTTCCTGATTCCAGGTCTACTGCATTTTCTATTGTGACTCAGATGAGTATTATAACATAGCCAGATGAAATTTTGATTCACTGCTTTTGGTCATTTTCATAAATTAATGCAATCAGCTGCACTACAAAATTTATGATTTTAAAATATGCATAATTGTTCATTGAGAGAATCATTAGAGACTTCATAAATGCCTCATTTGTTGCCTGGAGGATCACAGCAGGAGAAGTAGTTGGAAATAACAGAAGCATCAATAGGGAAAATTAACCTTTCTCTCTTTTATGTTCATCACTGGTCTGGAGTTAGCATAGCTTCTATAAAAGCGATAAAGAAGGAGTTTTCATTTCCTGACCTTTTGGCTTCATTTATATGCTAAAAGTTAATTTAGATATTTACAAGTAAATTGTGTCAATCTTCACTTGGGAATATTCTTTAACAAACATGGTTTATATAAGATTGTATCAAAGTAAAACATGGTGTGAAAAGGTATGACCATAAGAAAGCCAGAAACTTTTTTTTTTTCTGATAATAATGCTTAAGAGTTTGGATGAAAATCAGAAAATTAAGAATTGAAAGTCATAAAACCTAACTTGTCAAGTTAAGGAGTCATATTTGGTATACCAGGCTTTCTAGATCTTCATTTAGGATTTGAGAAAGGTGAACTGAAAACAGCCTTAGAACTCATAGCCCTGGGGGTGTCAGGCAGGATCCATGCAGGACGTGGCCCTGCCCTCTCTCAAGGCCATCTACCCCCACTCCACCACTGTTTGACTCCAATCACACGGACCATCACCACTGGTCTTTGCCAAGCTGTGCATAGCAAAGAAGTTCTTGTTATAAACTGTGCTCACATCTTCAGAGGCCTCAGCGCAAATGTCACCTCGTTAAGAAGGCTTTCCCTGACTACACACCTGAGAGTAACCCTAGCAGCCAGTCCCCATCACCTCAAGGCTTTCAGCCTTTGTAGCACTCACTGTTATCCAATATTAGCTTGGCTTCTGTATGCATCTGTTTATTACCTAGGCCTGTTCTCCAAAGAATGAAGGCATTTTGACAGCAGGAGAATTTGCTATTTTGTCTGTATCCCTGTGCACAGAACAGTACCTGTTTTCAGACCTAGAGCTTTTCCACTGGTGATATAGGGTTCAAGTAGGAAAGTATGTCAATGGTCTTCAAAGGACAGCTTGTCTTGAGAGCAGGTGACAACAGCTGTCAACCTGGGTGTAACATAAAGAATGGTACCCCCAGATAGCTTAGGTCAGGAGTTTTGCTGAGGAGGTGGGGCCATCCTCCCAGAAGAAATGCTGTGGCATCTCAGGGTCACCTTGAGGTCATGCTGCACTGGACGAAGACATATCACAATACATGGGGACTTGCTTTCAACTTTTATACCATATGGCAGCAATGCTGCCATAGAAGAGACATAGAAGAGACAGCCCAAATGGGTCCCATCTGTGGCCTGACCAGATCTCCCAGTTTTCTCTCTGGATACAGAACTGGTCTCATTGGATTAGTAGAACCCATGGAATCTTGGGCAATTCAGGGGCAAGGAAAGAGCCTCTGAAGAAAAATAATGGACTTCTTGCTAATTTGGCATCAGATGGCTTGCGGTGGCTTTAATTCAAACTAAAAACAGATGGGACTAATTTGGCAGCCTCTATGAGAAAGAAAATGCTATGAACTGGGAACCTCGCTTGTAAGAAGATTATACAAGGATATCTGACGAGAATGTTCATCTCTACACAGTGATGGCAAAAGCATGCAAAAAATCTAAACGTTTATCAGTAA